ATCTCAAATATATTAAGGAACCAAATTCCAATGAACTATGATATTGAATCTCAAGTTCAAGATTATGTTGTCAAAATCCAACCGCAACGATAAATAGAAACAAGAAAGTATGCAAATCAACTGATATATGACTGTAATCAAGCCCAGTCTACTAAATTTTCATTCAGATATCAGAGAAGAAAGTCCAACAGCTTATTATGAAAGTTCAATCCTGTCAAATCAAAATCAAGATGATCTTATTAATGAAATGTTAGAATTTTTTTAATCAAAAGATCATATTTTAATTAACCCAAGAGCACAAAAAATGATAATGCTATTATTTTTTTGGAATTTGGAAACGTTTTCATTCGAGTTGGTATACGGTATTCATCACATGTTTTATTGATGGAACTCAAGTCGTTCCGTTTCATAATAGAATGGCCAATTATTAAATTTGTTAATTTTTTGACCACAAGCAACTCAACTGTATCTACCGTTTTACATATACATCATGAAACGGGAAGAAACAGAAACTGATTACAAAGAGTATTTAGTATTATGGAGTATATACTGATATTAAAATTCTTTATCAAACAATTTGATGTTATATACAACTGATTTCGAAAAAGCACTTCAAAGGCTCATTTATAAAAGAAAAGAGAGCAAACCATATGACTGGGATGCAATATCACTTATTGCAGCATTAGTAATAAAATTTCAAAGAAAAATGTGATCCAGAAGAATCTAACAAAAATTTCTTTTAAGTTATTATGCGCTTTCCCATTCATGCCAGAAGAAGTTTTGATTTGGTTTGTAATAAAAATTAATGCATTCAAGATAAAATGAATTTGCAAAAATACTTTATAAAAACATGGAGCACAAAGCCTATAATTAAATCAGCAAGCTTCAAAGTATTCGACAATATTTATTCTAATAATGGCGTAAGAATCGTACAACAAAGTGTTAAATACAAATAATTGTATACTTCACATCCCACAATTTTTAAAGACGCGTACACTTTAATGAAAGTGGATTTAGCCGATTTTGCAGTCGATATGCACGGGCAATAAAAACAAAGTGATATAACAGTCGTATTTCATTAAATTGAAAAATAAATGAGAGATTCAGTTATTTGAAAGAGCATTTGGGTCTGGAAATATCATTAATTCCTGAGCATAATAAATGAAAAAATATACAGGATTTTGTCCAACATTCCTGGAATTGAATTCAGAGATATTGGGAAATTGGAAAGGTAATATGTCAAGTGATCAAATTACTTGATACATTCAATAAATTAGACGAAACAAAAAAATGAAAAGATAGAACACATTGAAAATTGCCGAAGATGATTTATTTCAATAATATGTAACATTGAATTTCTATTCAACTTTTATCGTTATATAATAAACATTTTATTGATTTTTTAATATTTTTTATAAGTAGATTGAAGATTATTTGATGGAAAGGTGTATATATATATACATAATGTACATACAATATCTTCATGCTATGAATTCCAGAATAAATGACAAGTCTTTCATTCTTAAATTAGAAAGTCCCTCCAATATTTGTCTATTTTTTTCATATTTTTTCTATTTTTTTCACCCAATTTAAAAATTCTTAAATTCCTAAATATAAGCAAATTATAATCAATTTTTACTTTCTGCAAAACGATTTAATCGATAATTATATGAATATTATTGATAAATATTTCTAAATATTTTAAATACAATAATTTTAACTGAACCAATAAATTGGATAACTTTAACTCAATCAATAAATATTAATATGATTTTTATAAAAAGCTTTATTTTTTTTCTCAATTTTTAATTCCATTTCAAGTCTCTAACTTTCTTACTATGTAAAACGTATTATTATAGTATAAAATAAAATTACATGTTTTATTCGATCTCGTATTTCAGAAAAAAATAAAATTACTTATATAAAAGATTCTCTTAGTCAACTTTCTTTGAAATCTCTAATAAGTTTTTACTGTTGCTTTTCTATATATTAGTATTGATTTCTTGTATTAAAGAAAATCCGGAACGTTTATTTATAGAATCTCGAAACTTTGACTTTAACATATTACTAATTGTAAATTATTCTTTCAAGAGCTCATTTCTATTATCCTACTGTTCGGCTTAAAATCTGCTATAATTGTTAAGATAAACTAAGTTTCTAAATTTTGAACCATTTTTTTGAAGTTTTAAAGTGTAATACATATCGATTTTTTATCCCGAATTTTAAGAATTGCTTCAAAGTTTTAGCCGTGAAATCGTGCATTTTTTCTATATGAAATTGTTATTATAAGATAAGCAATTCTAGAGTTTTTTTTGAATAAATATGTCACTACACATGATAGAGCTTAACGGTGCTGAAAAAGTTCGCTTCGTTCTGAAAGTGGTAATGAAAATTGATTAAATGATAAAATTTCAATTACACAGTATGCACTTTTCACATCCTGACATAACGAACAATATTATTTTACATGTTTTTTAGAAGTCTCCAACTCTCAAATTTTATGTTTTTTGAGGCGACCAAAATTGTAATAAATAAATATTTATTTAGTAATATTAGGAATAACCTATGTTAAAAAATCGTAAACCATTCAAAAAAATCTGACATCGCCAAAAATATTACTCAGTATGTATTGCTTATAAACGTGAACATGAAATTTTTGAAAAATATTTCTGAAAGAAAATACGTTATTTGACACTTTAGAAAAAAATTAAATTTCGAAAATTTTATTAAAATTTAAATATCTCGAAACTTTTGAATGCTTTGTAATTTTTGGGATCGAGGGTTATTAAAATATTTTTAGCTAAATCATTTATTTTTAGCAAGTTATGTCTTTTAATCAGTATATATTCTAATAAATTTTCTTAATTAATTCCTTTAAACTCATATTCATTTCAATTTCTCATCACATAAGTTATACATTCATTAGTTAAAACTTTTCAAATCCTTCCAATGGAATTTTTATCAAATAATTTCGCCCAATTCCAAGTTTGAAATCATCGATATTGGAGAATAATACTTGTCCTAATCTTTATTCGAGTTTTCCACTAAGCTATTTAAGTCTTATGGAATAATTATCCTCAAAATTATTATTTATTATAGCCTTGGCATAAATAGAACCCATTTCCTAATATAAAATCGTTTAGAATTCATTTCCACTCAATCTAGTTAAATTTATTATAATATAGTCTCTCAAATCGCAGTTGAATAGCAATCAATTTTTTGAGAGAAAAAACGTAGTCTTTTTCTATATGCTGCATGTCTTTCTCATAAATTTATAACAGTATGCATCAATAGATTGCTTGGTTTATTAAAAATTTGCAATTTGGTTCACATTTTGAGTAGGTGACAAAAGTGCATACTCTTAAATTAACCTTAAATGTTGATTTTCGAGTAGGTGCCAAAAGTGCTTACTCTTAAACAACCGTCGGATTTCCGGGTGAAATCGTGACAACTTTCGTCTTTCGTAGGCAGTGGTGGTTGTTACAAAAGGTAACTTCGAATGTAGCGTGAAATCTGCAAAAAAAATTCTGAAATTTGAATGGAGAACACAAAATTGAATAGTTTACGTCAATAAAAAGAGAAAATGAAGCCAATGTGTCTCGAACCTAGACTTAGAGCAGCAATCCCACTGTTTATAAATTACACTACATGCATCTCTACCTCAGTGAATGAGATCAACTATATGATAACTTTTTCCCCATTATATTCTTGTGGAAAAGTGACAAATAGCAACTTTGACCCTCTCTCATGTTTCTCATAAATTTATAACAGTATGCATCATGGATTGCTTGGTTTTATTAAAAATTTGCAATTTGGTTCACATTTTTAATCATGAATATTTAGAAGTCACTCAACTCAGGGTTCCACATGTAGATTTATTCAAGGAGTAATAATGAAAAATTTAGATAATACTAGCTGAGCTTATATCATATGTGTGAGATAATGAGTGATTTATGAGTAAGGAATTATATTGATAATAATATTATAATAAATTTAACTAGATTTGAGTGGAAATGAATTGTAAACGATTTTATACTAGGAAGATATTTAAGGTAGCTTGAAAATACGTGAGTTACAAAATAAATTTCGATTATATACAATGCATAGATGAATTAGACAAACATGATAATATGTCTATTTTTGTCTTGCTATCACCTCCTTTTTTTGTGTAATATTCATAATAAATTTCATAATCTTTTTATTTGCCACAAATGAATATATCGAGATGTTACCATTGATGTTCCTAGTCAAGCACGCATATTAAAGTGGAAAATTGTGAAAGTTTTCAACTTAATAATTTTTAATTTTGTATTTAACATTTGAGAGAGTTTTAATATTTGGTACAAGTATGTTTAAGGTAGCTTAATTTAAATAAGTATAGCGAACAAAAATGCGAGCGGTGTTAACGAAATCCTACATTTTCAAAATAATTTTGTAAGAAACAATTCTAATTCAAATTTCATATATTAGAAAGTATATCAGAAGAAGCCGAAGATCAATTATTTAATGAATCACCAATTAAAAAATCTATTAATAATAAAATTTCTGAATAATTCCATCACAAGACCAATTACAGCTTGACGACATTACAGAAGAAAAATCCGAAATAAATACATCAATAATTTCCACAAATACAAAAAATTCATATTCATATCTTTGAAGAAGAAGAAAAAGAAGATAATTTCGAGTTTTATCCAGAATATGACTATTACAAACCTCGTCAACCTTACGAAAAACCTAAGAAAGGCTCAAAAAGAGTCAAAAGAAAACCAAATGCTGCATTTATTGAAGAACAACAAGAATTAAACACAGGAATTGATATTGATATTGAATATGAATATTCATATGAAGAAGAAAACAACGAAGAAGTTTTGTTTCTTGGAATTCCAAAAGACGGAGTTTATGCTAGTGATGACGATCATCGTGGCTTTCGTGTTAGTAAATATCCTAAACTGAACAGATACGAAACAGATCCAGATAAATATCAGGTCATTTCGACAATGAATTATCGATCTCGACTTTCAGAGTCAGTTTTGTCTAATGAAACATATCTATTTGAGTTCAACCATATATTCGATAGTGACCCAGATAAAATATCCCCTTTAACTCTTAAAAACGGATCAAGATTTATATTCTCTTCATCAAGTGATGATGAATCCGGACTCAAACAAGACAAATTCAATACACCAAAGAAGTATAATTACAATACACCTAAAATTAGCAAATCAACAACAAAAATTTCACAAAAAGAAAATTATCAACAATCAACTCCAAAAACAACAACAAATAAAGAAACCCATTCAAAAACCTCGCCTTTTAAACGAAAATTCCTCGATAATTCTAGTTCAGATGATGATAATTATAAATCTACTCCCAGAATCAAAAGAGATAATGCCAAATCAGCCTATAATTATAATAATAAGTTCCTCAAAGGAATTGATTAATTGTTTTATTTGTTTATATTTATAAATTGTTATATTATTCATCTTTTTATATTTTTCTTTGAATACAATGCTTGGATTATCTTTGTCTTCTCGAGTTAAAAATAAATCATCATCAACAGGATCTGTCGTTATAAAAGTACCTTACAAATAATTTATTTGTTTCATCATTTATGGAGTTTGGAGTTACCCAGAGAAATGTATTATCATTACATTGAATACAATATATAATTTGTTATTATCAGCTCGATGAGAAGTAACACGTACAATAGATTTCCCAGACTTATAAAAAATGAATAATTCTGAACAGCTATACTTTGATTTAACAAACTAAAACAGATAAATAATAAATATTTGATGAATATTCCAGTGAATTTCATTTTTTTATGAAGGAAGTTCACTTTTGGTGTCACCCCCATCCTTTTTATTACTTTTGCAATGAGTCAAAAACTCATTGTTTAAGTGCAATTAATTGTACTTCGAGAAGTATCCCATAGCGATGCTGAATCAAGATAGCATTTGGAACCTTTACTATGAAGGAATTAGTCCTCCTTCCAAAGTTTTTACCGGTGAAGTTGAAAAAGTCACAGCAGCATCTAGCAAATGCTTTGCATACATCTGCAAGTTTATCAATCTTCAAGATAGAGCAGTTAAATTCGAATATACATATGATTGCTCGATTTTACTTTGCGAAAACGTTTTTTCAAAGGTTCAGGTACAGTATATATTCAAAGTTATAGTAAAAATAACATTATTATTGATAAATTCTGTTCATTTGAAAGTCAAACTCCTCAGAAGGCCAATTTACTTATTTATATGGCAAAATTAACAGTACACTCCTCCAAGGATCAATTTGTAATGGAGAAATAGTTCAGTTTTATATGATTTACCAATATCAAGGTTTTACATCACTTTCAAAAACAAACATTTCTAACTGTATTTCAGTACGATGTACAGGTTTTGTTATGATGATGTTGAATCAACAGTAAATGTTTCATTTTGTAATTTTGAGAATTTAAAAGCAGCTGAATTTATTACTGGGTTTTCTTGTCAAGGAAGAATTGACCGATGTAATTATATAAATAATTCTCAAAATATGAAGGATTGGATGTTTCTTTTTAATAGAACTTGATATTTTCAATTCATCTTTCCAAAACAATCACAGAATAATGGAGTTTTATTTAAGCAATTATGGACAAATTTATATACATCAATGTAGTATTGATGATTTATCAACTGATGGAACAGTTGATACAACAGAGAGAGGAACAGAATCATTTAAGAATAATTTAACATTCATTGGATTACGTCCATGTGAAGGAAATCTTGAAATAGTATTATTATTTGTTCCAAAGAAAGAAAATAAAATTTGTTCTTCTTTTTAAATCCATAAATTCTTTTTGGTAAATTTGATATTTCACTTGTTTTATTGATTAAATGATAAAAATTTCAATTACACAAGTATGCACTTTTCACATCCTGACATACGAACAATATTATTTTACATGTTTTTTTAGAAGTACTCCAACTCTCAAAATTTTATGTTTTTGAGCGACCAAAATTGTAATAAATAAAATATTTATTTAGTAATATTAGGAATAAACCTATGTTAAAAATCGTAAACCATTCAAAAAAATGACATCGCCAAAAAATATTACTCAGTATTAGCTTATAAACGTGAACATGAAATTTTTGAAAAATATTTCTGAAAGAAATACGTTATTTGACACTTTAGAAAAAAATTAAATTTCGAAAATTTTATTAAAATTTAAATATCTCGAAACTTTTGAATGCTTTGTAATTTTTGGGATCGAGGGTTATTAAAATATTTTAGCTAAATCATTTATTTTTATGCAAGTTATGTCTTTTAATTCAGTATATATTCTAATAAATTTTCTTAATTAATTCCTTTAAACCTTTACTATGAAATCTTGAAATAGTATTATTACCCAGATTTTCCTTACTTTTACCACTCCCCATGTAATTTCTGGGGAAAACGATAATTCATTTTTTTATGGATGAATAGATCGTTTTCCTAGAAAGGACCTCATATCTCTGGCTAAAAAGAGTGTCAGATCCTAAATAGATTATTGATCTAGTGTACAAATCCAATAAAAAGCCTATTTTTTGGCTTTTTTGGTGCTCATTTTTTGAAGATCTACATGAATATGGGGAAACCATCGGATTTTTTTGGTTAACCCACATCTTCATGTAGTCTGGACTATCTTTCCTCGAAGGACCTCTTTACGGGTGTAAAAACTCATAAAGTTCTCAAAAGATTCATTCTCGATCTCCATGCTGAAAGAATTTACAATAAAAAGAGATCTACGCATCAAACTACAGCCATAAATGAACTTAACCCCTAAAGCTCAGCTCTTAGTTTATCAAAAACGTCGAAATCCTTCTCATTGCAATCAAATTTTTCAATAACTCATAAGAAAAATCGAATTTTGATTAAGCCGATGTTATAGGTATCACAAATACTACAAACTTGAGCAATATCGAAATTGCCAGCAAAAGTTTGAAATTGCATTGCTCATATTTGTTTTGTAAACTAAAAATCTGCTTATATTATTCATTATTTTATATATTATTCATATACTTTAATAAAAACAATACTATTTCACCTTAAAAATGAATTTCATAAGTCAATATTATTTTTTTGAAAATGTATCAATTTTCGATTAAAACAACATGAGAATGAAATTTACGCAAAATTATTTTAAAAAATGGTTTTAAAAATTTACAATTGATGAAGAATAAGATTGCAAGAAGTTTTGAAGTTTAATTTTAAGAAAAAAAATTCGGATATTATTCATGGATCTAAGTAATCTGATATTTGAGTATCGGCACTATGCATAAAACTATATTTATAGTTTTTTTGGAGTTTTTATGATTTTAAATATATTCAAATTGGCAATCCAATAGATTTTTAAAAAATAGGTAAATAAAAATAGATTACATATGCAGCAGATTTAGAACATGAAACAAATCTTATAGTGACCAAAAGAAAATTCATGATCCAAAAAAGAAAAAATTTGGCTAAATGGGAATCAAACCTTGGCATAATGAATCATTATGTCGATGTTTCCACTACACCGGCAGGTCGAAAAATACCTTGGTGGTTCTATTTAATAGCTACTCCCAACGATAGGCGGTGTCCCCAGCTTTAGAGAGGTGGTAAAAGTAAGGAAAATCTGGGTATTTGCTCCAAAGAAAGAAAATAAAATTTGTTCTTCTTTTAAACTTATAAATTTTCTTTTTGGTAAATTTCATTTTTCTATTTTGTTTATTGATTAAATGATAAAAATTTCAATTACACATGCTTTCCACTTCCTGACATACTCATCACACATACGTGTATAGTAATCCTTGAACTGTTTAATGTTTTGTCCTTTATTTCTATAGGTTGCAGCCTTAATTGCCTGATTTTTTTTTGACAAATATATAATAAGAATCTTGGGACAACTGTCAAAAAAAAAGTTATTTGCCAAGTTTCAGAAGCATTTCCATACATGAGGGTTAAGACAAGACTTAAGAATCCACGATCAACATTAGGTAAATCTATCAAAGAAATTTTAAATCGAGCAGGCAAGCGACAAATTTCACATCCAAAGCAAAACCAAACTTACGAAAACGATGATTCTGCATCAGAAAGTCGGCGAAGTAGTACAAGAATTAACGAAATCCTACATTTTCAAAATAACTTTGTAAGAAACAATTCTAATTCAAATTTAATATTAGAAAGTATATCAGAAGAAGCCGAAGATCAATTATTTAATGAATCACCAATTAAAAAATCTATTAATAATAAAATTTCTGAATTAATTCCATCACAAGACCAAATACAGCTTGACGACATTACAGAAGAAAAATCTGAAATAAATACATCAATAATTTCCACAAATACAAAAAATTCATATTCATATTTTGAAGAAGAAGAAAAAGAAGATAATTTCGAGTTTTATCCAGAATATGACTATTACAAACCTCGTCAACCTTACGAAAAACCTAAGAAAGGCTCAAAAAGAGTCAAAAGAAAACCAAATGCTGCATTTATTGAAGAACAACAAGAATTAAACACAGGAATTGATATTGATATTGAATACGAATATTCATATGAAGAAGAAAACAACGAAGAAGTTTTGTTTCTTGGAATTCCAAAAGACGGAGTTTATGCTAGTGATGACGATCATCGTGGCTTTCGTGTTAGTAAATATCCTAAACTGAACAGATACGAAACAGATCCAGATAAATATCAGGTCATTTCTACAATGAATTATCGATCTCGACTTTCAGAGTCAGTTTTGTCTAATGAAACATATCTATTTGAGTTCAACCATATATTCGATAGTGACCCAGATAAAATATCCCCTTTAACTCTTAAAAACGGATCAAGATTTATATTCTCTTCATCAAGTGATGATGAATCCGGACTCAAACAAGACAAATTCAATACACCAAAGAAGTATAATTACAATACACCTAAAATTAGCAAATCAACAACAAAAATTTCACAAAAAGAAAATTATCAACAATCAACTCCAAAAACAACAACAAATAAAGAAACCCATTCAAAAACCTCGCCTTTTAAACGAAAATTCCTCGATAATTCTAGTTCAGATGATGATAATTATAAATCTACTCCCAGAATCAAAAGAGATAATGCCAAATCAGCCTATAATTATAATAATAAGTTCCTCAAAGGAATTGATTAATTGTTTTATTTGTTTATATTTATAAATTGTTATATTATTCATCTTTTTATATTTTTCTTTGAATACAATGCTTGGATTATCTTTGTCTTCTCGAGTTAAAAATAAATCATCATCAACAGGATCGGTCATTATAAAAGTACCTTACAAATAATTTATTTGTTTCATCATTTATGGAGTTTGGAGTTACCCAGAGAAATGTATTATCATTACATTGAATACAATAATATAATTTGTTATTATCAGCTCGATGAGATGTAACACGTAGTAGTAGAGTATGAAGGGTTTAGTGACTTTTTTTGTTACATCTATATATAGACGATGCATTAAAATATATTTTTATATAAATCATTAAAAAAAAACATTAATTTTAAAATAATTTATTTTTTTATCTTTTATAAAAGAAGCTATATATAGATGATGTCAGATATTCCGCGATTAATTAAACATTGTTTAAATCCTGAATGGGTTAAACTTCAATTTAAAAATGAAGATTGTGAATTATTAAATGAATATGAAAGCCAAAATAAGCTAATGAGGTATAAATATAATGATAAAGAATATTTAATTTCATGGAATCAATGGAGTCATAATCAAAGACCCCATAAACGAGAAGAAGAAATTGAAAATAATGAAATGGAAATCATTGATGACATTAAAGAGGATGGAATTCCTAAATTTTGTAGAAAAACCTTTAGAACTAAGTTAGGAGCATATAAACGTAGAGTATTAAATCCTGAATATCTTAAACATCAATTTAAAAAGGAAGACTGTGAATTATTAAACGTTAATGAATATGAAAATGCTAAATCAAAATGAGATATAAATATATTGGAAGTGATGAAAGGTGTAAAGATAAAGATAAAGTTTATTCAGTTTCATATAATAACTGGCACACGTTAGGGATAAGAAAACATTTAGGAGATTATGGGAAATGTTCTGAATTCTTTAAATCTAGTATATACGAGAGAGTAAAAGAAATTAGAAATAATTATTTTCATGAATAAAAAAATAAACTTTAAAAATTCATGTCTTACATTTTTGAATAATTTATTTTTTTAATTCGTAAGAAATGAGTGAATCAAAATTCGTAACTGTGAATCAATTAATGGATAAACTTTCACCAATTTCTCACCCAGGTTAAACAAGTAGACGTTTATTTTGATGATTGCATTAACAAAGTTTATTTTATAAAGGTAATTTAATATTAAACCTATTGCTTTTGCATTTGATGGTAAATTAATCGAAAATTCAAAAATTTGGGAATTAATTCCGGATATTGAATTTTATAACAAATAATTAAGGATAAATGGTTTAAACAACAAAACCACCTCACTAAAGTTCTTTGTAGATTAATGATTAAAACTGAGGAAAAAGAATTTAACGGGTTTAAATATCATCATGTAAAATTTTAGAACTTGGTAACGAAAAACTTCAGAAAAAATTAAACGATAGACTATCAAAAGATAAAGTTGAAAGAGTAAATAAACTCGCTAAAGGTAATGGTAATGATGAAGAAGAATTTGATGAGTTCAAATAGAACTTTAAGAAACTAATGATTATTTGAATTTATGAAATCAGTTATTTGATTCATTCTTTCTTCAATCTCTTCTATTCTTTTGTTAAATCATCTATTTTCATTAATGAGGTGATTCTTGATTGAGGAATAGATTTCAAACTAACCACTCCTTTTATTTTTGAAATTTTGAATCCATCAACTTTAAACATTTTATTCAATTTACATGTTGTCAATTCTTCAAATTAATTTTTTAATTATTAGCATAACAGTCATTAAATTCTTCAACAGATGAAAAAAATTTTATTTCAGTAATTGGTTTAACAACGTTTATTTTTTGTTGACATTTTCCTTTCATTTATTTCTTCCTCCTCTGTTTCATTTATTTTTAAAATCGGTTTCATTTATCATTAATAAAAATTAGAATATAAGTGATGAAATATATTTTTTAATTAATATTAAATCAGAAATGGCGGCAGGATCTTTAAAAAATTATGGGATGGAATTAAGAAAGCTGCGGGTTGGGTTTATAAAAAGATTATTAAACCCGTTGCAAACTTTTTGGCACCAGTAGCGAAAACGGCAGGAACTATCATAGGTGGTGTATTAGGTACTAAAGCAGGTAATCCGGCGATGGGAGCACAAGCAGGTAACGCAGTTGTGGAATTGCTGAAAGAATACTTAATAAAATAGGAGGTAGATAGTGGAAAAATAAATATGAGATCCTATGGATCATCTCGCTGCTTAGCGGCTTAAAAATTATTTTTATCTTAGTATCGGTTGTAGTCTTTGATAAACTTTTTCTCCTTTATTTAAAACTTCTCTTATTGGGGCAGCTTTTGGTGTTATTGATTCAGCAACGTCACTAATTGCTTCTTTATTCTTAAATATCCAATTTGCCCTCTTCTTCAATGTTTCCCAAACTTTACTCGCTCCTCTTTTTACTCTATTCCACAGTTTCTTAAATATACCTGCAGCCATAGTTGATTATTTCATTAAAATTAAAAATTCATTTTCATCTTTTAATTTTGATTTTTTATTTATTAATAAATGACGACTAACTATTTGGTGCCAAACACTAAACCGATTAATGGAAATGTGTTTCATTCATTCGAAAAGATAAATGAAATATTCGCAAAGAATGACGGTAGAAGATATTATAGAGAACTTGAAAGTTCATGCTATGACTCTGATACTCCATATTTTGATGATAAACAAACTCATTTAAGAATTACAAATCCGGCTCATGATGTGAACCAATTAGGTGACACATATATTAAACGCAAAGTTAAAGCAACTCTAGTTTCAAATAAAGCTTTCACATGTGATGCCGCTTTTAAATGCATGCGTTTATTCGTTGGTTACAAATCATCAAATCAAAGCTTTAAACAATTAGAAGTAGAAACCGAAAGAGGTGATGCAGGTTATCTTCAGATGGATTGCGCCCGTGAATCTTTCGCATTTGCAACATATAAACCAAAATCAGAAAGGAAAGTTAAAAAGTTTGTTCATTCGTTATATAATAATGTTCAAAAATATGATAACTCAGTATGTGGTAAATATATTGACCCTTCAGAAGTTTTAAGAAAGCAAATGAAGAAGTTGATGTCACTTTTGATATGATTATTCGGTAAATGATTTGTTAGCATTTCAGGCGTTCGATGATTATCCTAAATCATTTGGTGAAATCATTCTTAAATATTATGTTTTCAGGGATACTTTAGTATTTTGTCAGGTTGACCCGTTAAGAGTTGCTGATTTACAAAATTACGTTTATGAAAAGATAACTGATGAAAATTATGAAAAGATTATGAATCATGTTTATAAATATGATCGCAAATTCCAACAAATCGGACTTCCTGCCAAATTAATTACAAGCTTAGCCGCTACATCTGCTGACGCAACAGTTGATGACGTTATTATTTCATGCACAAAGATGGAAGTTTTAGAGGATAAATGCATTACACCAGGATACGGTTTAATTGAAGAATCAGTTAAAGCAATACCACGTTTATTCAGTAAGGAAGATCCATTCATGATTCCAGCTCAACATATTGACGTTCGTTCACTAAATGGAGGTTGCATCACTCCTGAAGGTATTAGCTCTGATTTCTCATACGCTCTCATAATGTTACAGATGTTGTGTTAGCATTTCCGAAGAATGCAATGCAAAGAACAGTTTTAGAAAATCCAATGCTTCGAGGTCTTCAGGTCACTATAGATTCCAGAAACTTCCCCGATCAAGCGATGACCACAGTGGGTGACATATTCTTTACACGTATGCTTCAAGCTTCTGATTTAGATGGAGTGAATGAATGCACAGAAGAATACGAGGACTCATTAACTAGACCACTGAATGCAGATGATGGCACGCCATTAGCTAGAACATGGAAAGACCAAACTTCATTCTTATGCACTATTCCAGTTCAACGTGATGGAGCGGGTATATTCTTTGATGGATTAGAAACTTTCAACTCGCAAGTTACAGTACAAGTGAAAGCTTATCCAATCATTCAGGGTGAAAATGACACTTACTGTTCAAAGGTGACAAATCCTCCTCAAGTTTGGTTTACTAGGACTACAGATTGGACATGGACACCGGATGAAGGTTTGAAATATCATCCAACAGGTACACCACCACAGTATAGAAGTTCATATGATGAAATATTGATGAATAGAAATGTTTAAAATTATGAGATATAAAAATTGCTCACATTTGCTCACATTTTGGCACTTTTTGTACGTTTGTCAAAAAATTGTGAGGAAGATCTCACAAAAATAGTCAAAATGTGAGCAAATTTTGAGAAGTGCTCACATTTTGACATACGATTATTTTCATACGTTTTTTTGATGAATTCTAATAAAACTTCATTACCACTTTCAGAACGAAGCGTAACTTTTCAGCACGTAACGCTCTATCATGTGTAGTGACATATTATTCAAAAAAACTCAGATTGCTTATCTTATAATAACAATTTCATTAGAAAAAATGCACGATTTCACGCTAAAACTTTGAAGCAATTCTTAAATTCGGATAAAAAATCGATATGTATTACACTTTAAACTTCAAAAAATGGTTCAAAATTTAGACTTAGTTTATCTTAACAATATAGCAGATTTTAAGCCGAACAAGTAGGAGTAATAGAAATAGCTCTTGAAAATAATTACAATTAGTAATATGTAAGTCAAAGTTCGAGTATTCTAATAAATAAACGTTCCGGATTTTCTTTACTACAAGAATCAATACTTAATATATAGAAGCAACAGTAAAAACTTATTAGAGATTCAAAAAGAAAGTTGACTAAAGAGAATCTTTTTATATAAGTAATTTTATTTTTCTGAAATACGAGATCGAATAAACATGTATTTTATTTTATTACTATAATAATACGTTTTTACATAGTAAGAAAGTTTAGAGACTGAAATGAAATTAAAAATTGAGAAAAAAATAAAGCTTTTCTATAAAAATTCATATTAATATATAGTA